GTGTTTAGGGAGAAAGTCACACAAAGACCCGACTTTGTTTTGTCTTCAGCATTTCCTCTTCCTTGTTATCTGCAATTACTATCGTCAATTAATGAAATCGAGAAAGCAATTAAGTGACGGCACATTGAATATAGTCACTAGGTGCATTTCGCTGAGTGTTTACAAGATCTAGCGACACATTTTATCGCCACGCGTTCTAGTTTGATTAGTTTAGAAAATTAAACAGTTACTCTGGCGGCTCTCCGTCCTTGCTATGAATCTGACATCGAATTTAGTCCAAAATACTAGTAAATTCAGAATTATTAGCTAAAACTAAAATTGCCCTAATTTGTCAGATAATCAAAAATGCCGGTGATCCACGCGGAGGGTACGCTTTCCTGAAGGTAGCGGCGACGAACGGCGACGATATGTTTCTAAATAGTGAACCTTAATTAGTTACGAAAAGCCCCCTTTTCAACAGGTGCGTTTTATTAATTACTTCATGTCACAAAGTTAATTTATACAGGCAAAACTTTATTCAAGGAAATAGTTTCACGAAATGAAAGGGAGTAAAATATAAGTCGGCACAAATATAAGGCATACAACAATGAGTCATGTTATGGATCATGTTATGGGCCATGTCGGATTATAATGGCATACCTTGATGCAAAACCGTCTATCGTTTCTTCCACCGCGATTCGATTTATTTAATGTAATGTATTACTCATTACCCGTTTCATTTGACACTCTCTCTTTTTATCTCCCTTCACCTTTCTCTTGTTAGAAGGAGGGTAAATAATTAAGCACTCAAAATCTGCACCACCAATCTTCAGAAAAACATAAGTCAACGAACCAGTGGGCTGACCCACAACATCCGACACAGCAGAATGAATCTAATAACGGCTAGCACAAATTTATACGCAGTTACCTATAGTGTCATTACATACATAATCAGCTGCACTCGCGAAGCTGTTGAACAAAAGGATAGTTCGCTACGGGAGACCGTTTGTTTACATAAGTACTCTAAGGGGGCGTGGCTACCCAGGCGACCAGGGGATTAGGCTAGTAACTATATGTCGTCAACAATCGTTTAGCGACCCTATCATTATACACTCTCTCTATTGTATTTTCCACCGCATTAATCGCAGTGTAATCTTCAAATGGTCCACGGGGTAAATGTACACATTCTTAATCCTAGTACGGTATATATAACTGCTTTTCGGAAAGACCTTTCTCTCCGTATGTTTAAATGATACATGAATGGGGCCTGACTGCATGTTAGATTTCGCTTGGTCGACGGTGTACATTGTATTATCTCAAATATATGGTTTAATAAATAATTAATAAATGAAAACGATGGTGATTATTGACTTGCCTTGGTAAAGGTCTGCATTGGCCCTCTGAATGGTTTTCTAGTTTATTTACTACGCTTTTTTTATAAGCAAGCCCTGTATTTTTCTGGTAAGCTGATTTCAGATGCTGTTATTTTCATTCTGTTTCACACTGAGTTTACGTTTGACTTCACCTGCGTCCTTACAGAGCACGATGAGAGCCAAAGCGGTTCACTAATTGTCCGTTTTAGTTGTTAGTAATCTTTGCCATTCCAAATGTCAAATGTGGAGTTGCCCCAGGTTCTGTAAGGATGTATGTACAGTCTTGATAAACAAGACCAAAGAGGAGGACACAAAAAACAAAATGTATGATTAGGTAAAATAATAGCGGCGATTTGACTTTTGAAAAAATGAACATCCCAACGAGCAGATAGCTTGTTTTGATAAAAGGGCAGCATGACATGCATGACGCCATACTGGGTAAGATACTGACTCAATTCAAGCTTGATCTATTGACCTTTCCCCCCTGAGTATCATTTAAAGACTTTAAATTGGAGAGAAAAGAAGTTTAATTGAAGGCGCAGATTTTATGATAATGACAAGCAAAAAGCTGTTGTCAAACCAATGGCTAATTCTAAACTATACCAGATTTTTATGCAAAGGAAATTTGCCCGGACAATCAATTGTAAATATTAATGCACATGTCAATGTTGTACTGGCATCTTTGTGCTGAAAACGTGACATGATTGCTAATTTATATTATATTTAAAGGCGCTCACTGAACTGCTCACCCCACTTGTATCTTTTTTTCAATAAATAGTGAAGACGGTTGAGTTGTCAAGTATATAACACTACCGGCACATTATATTTTACCATCTGACATAATTTGCCGCTGTTTTTTAATCATGAATTGCACATAACAGAGAACAAAAAAGGTATCACCTAACTTTACTTCTTACTCAGTAAAAAAATGGTGATTTTAAAATACAATAAGATCCAAGGGGTACAGTGTACTTCTCTTTGATTATTCTGAACAACCAGCTTATCTTAGTGTGTGGGCACATACTGTTATCACTACTCTGAAAGTGGTCAGTTTTCTTAATACAATAAAACATTAGCAGAAGGTTTGTTCATAGAGCCAATTGCATTTTCCACTAACCGAACTAATAACCAATGCATACTAGTATCACGCTATATAACACGTGCACCCTGTTTAAATATAGGTCGACCTTTTTATGAGTGCTAAAAGACGTTAAAAGGAAATAGCATCTCTGCCACGGACACAGGAATATTGATCTCTACGGCGGTCAAAATGTCTAAAGTTTTCCAGGCTAGTAAAGGTTTGATAAGAATTATGCAACCGAGGGGTCAAGGGTTAACAAGGATTACGTCAACTACCAAGAGAGTGGAGAAGGTTTTGCAACATGAATCCGTTACAAAATTCTCTCCACTTAGTTTGCCTGTCCGAGGACTAAAACACCAACCGATACAGTTTAAAAAGGTAATAAAAAAGAGCGCAAATGAAATAGTTCAGGTATCAGATATACATATGTGTGCTAACGTACTGTGGTAAACATAAATATCACTTCAAAGAAGGTTTGAACTGGGGAATGCTAAAAACAAGCAGGTAATACTCCAAAATATATTTCTGATCAAAAATTGTTGTTCCTGTCCATTTGGTTTCGGCAGGAGGCCATCGATATACCGCGTGTTTCTGTTTTTTATTGTACAACTATTCGTTTGAATATATTGCGATTATTTGCGTTACATCCGCCGATATACGATTCTTTTTTAATTGAATATATCAAGCATTATTTCTATGTCCGATATATTTTCTATATCCGATTTCCATGTACACATGAACTGGTATTTGAACAACTTTCAGGCTCCAATGGACTACCCGCCGTTGACTGGATCTGATCTCTGGAAGCGGAAAGTACGCACATATTTCAAGTGTTTTGATGTAAACGGTGACGGCTACATCACAAAAGAAGATTATATATTAAGTGCAAGACGCTGTGCCGAGTATTTGGACCTTGATGGTAGGCTAATTTGGTACCGATTGTTGAATAATAAAAATAAGGGAAAGTATATTGCAAAGTATGTTGCAAATTCAATTTTAACTACTTTATTTTATGAACTAAAACATATTTATGTACATGTTTGCACCTTGTATCTTGCAAGGAAAAAGTTTTATATCGGTATGTTCTTTCTCTCTCTCTGTCTCATTTTTAAATCAATGTATTTTTAACATACACTTGTCATGAAAAGGACCAACGTAGCGTTGATTTTAAGATAACTACTGAGTTACATGCATTATATATGAGTGGATATCAATATAAATACATGTATGAAATCACCATGCTCGTTTTTCAGATGAGAGAACAGAGCATGTTCTAAATCAGCGCATCAGGCAATGGGAATATATGACGAAAAATGCTTCCAAGGTATCGGAGGAAGAATACGTGGAAATGGTTCAAGTGTTGTGTAACCAAAAACACTTTCGGGAGGAGTTTTTTTTGGCTGTGGTATCAATGTCTTTTACTGTCACTGACATAAATGGCGATGGTCTCATTTCCAGTGAGGAGTACAAAGCTTATTTCTATAGCTTAGGCCTTTCCGCCGAGGCGTCGCAAAAAGCATTCCACCTGATAGACAACAACAACGATGGTTTTATAACAGTAGACGAATTTGGGCATGCAATAGCCGAATTCTTTTTTACCGAAGACCCAAGTAACATATACAACGAAGTATTCGGTGCACTGGCTGATTAAGTGATTACATGTGTACCTCCGCCAAGGAGCCTAAATGCCTGTTGATTAGCAACATTTTGCAAAAATGTAGGGACGGGTTTGATGAAATTTTCAGCATAGTTCAGAAATTTGCCAAGGAGCAAGTGCTAAGGCTTTGGTGGGGAACCAGAATATTATATTTATACCTATTTTATCAGTAAAATGCGGCATTGCACAAACATCGTTTGCTTGCATCGTCTCCAGGCCTACCCATCTACCAGACTCGGTACTTAAGGATCCTGAATTAACCGGTATATCGGACCACACTACCCATTTTTAAGGTGTGTGTCAGATCGCATTTCGGAGTATCAGTGAGAACACGGCATGATGAGCCCGCGGTCGTCCTTCAAAATTTGTTCTGGGGTATGATACTCTAACTGCCCCGTCGTGCCTCTTTGGCTTCTCATTCATATTTAATTCAGGTAACCTGCGCAATCTTTCCCATATTATACTTATACCCACTGCGATATAGTAGAAATAGCAATGGCCCAAACGGCATGCATTAATCGAACACACACAAACACACACATACACACACAAACATATATAAATATATAGGACCCTTGTTCGGAAAGACCTTTCTCTTTGAATGTTAAATGATACATAGATGCGGCCTGAGTGCATGTTAGATTTCGCTTGGTCGACGGTGTACATTGTATTATCTCAAACACATATATATATATATATATGGTTTAATAAACAATTAATAAATGAAAATGATGGTGATTATTGACTTGCCTTGGTAAAGGTCTGCATTGGCCCTCTGAATGATTTTCTAGTTTATTTACTATGCTTTTTTTTTTAAGCCAGCCCGGAACTTTCCTGGTAAGATGATTTCAGATGCTGTTATTTTCATTTTGTTTCACACTGAGTTTACGTTTGACTTAACCTGCGTCGTTACAGGGCACGATGAGAGCCAAAGCGGTTCACTGATTGGCCGTTTTAGTTCTGAGTTATCTTTGCCATTCCAAATGTCGACTGTGGAGTTGCCCCAATTACTGTACGGATGTATGTGCAGTCTTGATAAACAAGGCTAAAGAGGGGGGGGGCATAAAAAACAAAATGTATGATTAGGTAAAACAATAGCGGCGATTTGACTTTTGAAAATATTATTTCTTGATGGTAATCCCACCGAGCAGATAGCTTGTTTTGATGAAAGGGCAGCATAACATGCATGACGCCATACTGGGTAAGGTATTGACTCAATTCAAGTTTGATCTGTTGCGTAGTTGATAAAGGAAAGAGATCAATGACCTTTCCCGCCTGAGTATCATTTTAAATACTGTAAATTGAAGAGAAAAGATGTGTAATTGACGACGCAGATTTTATGATAATGACAAGCAATAAACTGTTGTCAAACCAATGGCTAATTCTAAACTATACAGGATTTTTATGCAAAAGGTAATTTACCCGGACAATCAAATTTCAATATTAAAGCACATGTCAATGTTTTACTGGCATCTTTGAGCTGAAAACGTGACATGATTGCCAATTTATACTATATTTAAAGGCGCCCACTGAACTGCTCACCCCACTTTACATCTATCATTTTTTAACAAAGCCTGAAGACAGTTGATATGTCAAGTATATAAAACTACCGGTAGATTATGTTTTCCGATCTGATAAAATTGGTCGCTGTTTTTTTAAGAATGAATTGCACATAACAGAGAACAAAAAATGAATCGCCTTACTTTACTTCTTACTCAAAAAAAATTATGGTGATTTTAAAATACAATAAGATCCAATACAGGAATACTTCTCATGTTTGATTATTCTGAAAAACCAGCTCCTCTTAGTGTGTGGATATATACTGTATTTATTACTCTGAATGTGGTCAATTCCGTTAATACAACAAAACATTAACAGCCTGAAGGTTTGTTCATAGAGCCAATTGCATTTTCCACTAACCGAACTTATAACCAATGCATAATTGCATCACGTTATATAACACGTGCACCGGGGTAATGTTTAAATATAGGTCAACCTTTTTATATGAGTGCTAAAAGATGTTTAAAGCAAAGAGCATTTCTGCCTCGGATACAGGTATATCGATCTCTACGGAGGTCACCATGTCTAAAGTTTTTCAGGCTAGTAGGGGGCTGATAAGAATTATGCAACCGATGTATCAAGGGTTAACAAGGATAACGTCAACTTCCAAGAGGTTTTGCAACATGAATTACGTCAACTACCAAGATGTTTTGCAACATGAATCCGTTCCAAAATTCTCTCCACTTAGTTTGCCTGTCCGAGGACTAAAACACCAACCGATACGGTTTAAAAAGGTAATAAAAAGGAGCGCGAATGAAAGAGTTCATGTTACAGATATACGTATGTGTGCTGATGTGCTTTGGTGAACATACATGTAAATATCACTTCAAAGAAGGTTTGAACTGGGGAATGCTAAAAACAAACAGGTAATACTCCAATATATATTTGTGATATAAAATTATTGTTCCTGTCCATTCGGTTTCGGCAGGAGGCCATCGATATACCACGTGTTTCTGTTTTTTTTATTGTACAACTATTCGTTTGAATATATTGCTATTATTTGCGTTACATCCGCCGATATACGATTCTTTTTTAATTAAATATATCAAGCATTATTTCTATGTCCGATATATTTTCTTTATCCGATTTCCCTGTACACATGTACTGGTATTTGAACAACTTTCAGGCTCCAATGGACTACCCGCCGTTGACTGGATCTGAACACTGGAAGCGGAAATTACGCACATATTTCAAGTGTTTTGATGTAAACGGTGACGGCTACATCACAAAAGAAGATTATATATTAAGTGCAAGACGCTGTGCCGAGTATTTGGACCTTGATGGTAGGTTAAATTGTTCCCAATTGTTGAATGATAAAAATAAGGGAAAGTATATTGCAAAGTATGTTGCAAATTCAATTTTAGCTATATTATTTTATAAACTAAAACAGATTTATGTACATGTTTGCACCTTGTACCTTGCAAAGAAAAGGTTTAATATTGGTGGGTTCTTTTCTGTCTCTCATTTTAAAGTCAGTTTATTTTTTAACAAACTCTTGTCATAAAAATATGACCAACGTAGCGTTGATTTTAAGATAACTACTGAGTTACATGCATTATATATGAGTGGATATCAATATAAATACATGTATGAAATCCCCCAGCTCGTTTTTCAGATGAGAGAGCAGAGCATGTTCTAAATCAGCGCATCGGACAATGGGAATATATTACAAAAAATGCTTCCAAGGTATCGGAGGAAGAATACGTGGAACTGGTTCGAGTGTCGTGTAACCAAAAACACCTCCGGGAGAAGTTTTTCTCAACGGTGGTATCAATGTCTTTTACTCTCATTGACATAAATGGCGATGGTCTCATTTCCAGTGAGGAGTACAAAGTTTTTTTCTATAGCTTAGGCATCTCCGCCGAGGCGTCGCAAAAAGCATTCCACCTGATAGACAACAACAACGATGGTTTTATAACAATAGACGAATTTGGGCATGCAATAGCCGAATTCTTTTTTACCGAAGACCCAAGTAACATATACAACGAAGTATTCGGTTCACTGGCTGATTAAATGATTACATGTGTACCTCCGCCAAGGGGCGTAATTGCCTGTTGATTAGCAACATTCTGCAAAAATGTAGGGACGGGTTTGATGAAATTTTCAGCATAGTTCAGAAATTTGCCAAGGAACAAATGCTAAGATTTTGGTGGGGAACCACAGTANATCACGTTATATAACACGTGCACCGGGGTAATGTTTAAATATAGGTCAACCTTTTTATATGAGTGCTAAAAGATGTTTAAAGCAAAGAGCATTTCTGCCTCGGATACAGGTATATCGATCTCTACGGAGGTCACCATGTCTAAAGTTTTTCAGGCTAGTAGGGGGCTGATAAGAATTATGCAACCGATGTATCAAGGGTTAACAAGGATAACGTCAACTTCCAAGAGGTTTTGCAACATGAATTACGTCAACTACCAAGATGTTTTGCAACATGAATCCGTTCCAAAATTCTCTCCACTTAGTTTGCCTGTCCGAGGACTAAAACACCAACCGATACGGTTTAAAAAGGTAATAAAAAGGAGCGCGAATGAAAGAGTTCATGTTACAGATATACGTATGTGTGCTGATGTGCTTTGGTGAACATACATGTAAATATCACTTCAAAGAAGGTTTGAACTGGGGAATGCTAAAAACAAACAGGTAATACTCCAATATATATTTGTGATATAAAATTATTGTTCCTGTCCATTCGGTTTCGGCAGGAGGCCATCGATATACCACGTGTTTCTGTTTTTTTTATTGTACAACTATTCGTTTGAATATATTGCTATTATTTGCGTTACATCCGCCGATATACGATTCTTTTTTAATTAAATATATCAAGCATTATTTCTATGTCCGATATATTTTCTTTATCCGATTTCCCTGTACACATGTACTGGTATTTGAACAACTTTCAGGCTCCAATGGACTACCCGCCGTTGACTGGATCTGAACACTGGAAGCGGAAATTACGCACATATTTCAAGTGTTTTGATGTAAACGGTGACGGCTACATCACAAAAGAAGATTATATATTAAGTGCAAGACGCTGTGCCGAGTATTTGGACCTTGATGGTAGGTTAAATTGTTCCCAATTGTTGAATGATAAAAATAAGGGAAAGTATATTGCAAAGTATGTTGCAAATTCAATTTTAGCTATATTATTTTATAAACTAAAACAGATTTATGTACATGTTTGCACCTTGTACCTTGCAAAGAAAAGGTTTAATATTGGTGGGTTCTTTTCTGTCTCTCATTTTAAAGTCAGTTTATTTTTTAACAAACTCTTGTCATAAAAATATGACCAACGTAGCGTTGATTTTAAGATAACTACTGAGTTACATGCATTATATATGAGTGGATATCAATATAAATACATGTATGAAATCCCCAAGCTCGTTTTTCAGATGAGAGAGCAGAGCATGTTCTAAATCAGCGCATCGGACAATGGGAATATATTACAAAAAATGCTTCCAAGGTATCGGAGGAAGAATACGTGGAACTGGTTCGAGTGTCGTGTAACCAAAAACACCTCCGGGAGAAGTTTTTCTCAACGGTGGTATCAATGTCTTTTACTCTCATTGACATAAATGGCGATGGTCTCATTTCCAGTGAGGAGTACAAAGTTTTTTTCTATAGCTTAGGCATCTCCGCCGAGGCGTCGCAAAAAGCATTCCACCTGATAGACAACAACAACGATGGTTTTATAACAATAGACGAATTTGGGCATGCAATAGCCGAATTCTTTTTTACCGAAGACCCAAGTAACATATACAACGAAGTATTCGGTTCACTGGCTGATTAAATGATTACATGTGTACCTCCGCCAAGGGGCGTAATTGCCTGTTGATTAGCAACATTCTGCAAAAATGTAGGGACGGGTTTGATGAAATTTTCAGCATAGTTCAGAAATTTGCCAAGGAACAAATGCTAAGATTTTGGTGGGGAACCACAGTACTACTGTATTTATACCTATTTTATCAGTAAAATGTGGCATTGTACAAACGTTGTTTGCTTGTATCTCTAACTGCCCTGTCGCGCCTCTCTGGCTTCTCATTCATATTTAACAGTCAGTCGGGACTCGGGCAACCTGCGCAATCTTTCCCATATTAAACTTACTTCCACCCACTCCAATATAGTACAATTAGCAATGGCACAAACGGCGTGCATTAATCACACACACACACACACACACACACACACACACATATATATATATATATATATATATATATATATATATATATATATATATATATATATATATATAGGACCCTTTTTCGGAGAGACCTCTCTCTCCGTATGTTAAATGATACATGAATGCAGCCTGACTGCATGTAATGTTCGCTTGGTTGACGGTTAACTTTGTATTATCTAAAACACACAAACACACACACACACACATATGACCTATAGTTTGATAAATAATTAATAAATGAAAAGGATGGTGATTATTGCCTGCACTGGCCCTGTGAATGATTTTCTAGTTCATTTACTACTTTAATAAACACAACACCATTACATCTTAAGCTTGAAATGTTCAGTCTTCAGGAATTAGCATTGCGTATGTTAAAAGATTACATTTTATTGCCACCGTTTCGAGTAAGAAATTCTGTTAAGATATTAGGAGGGTATTCTAAAGATTATGTTTTACAGGCAATTAGTAACTTGTATGACTGTTATCATGGACGTAGACTCTGAATGCTATATTCAACTGCTTTCATTTGTTTCATTTTTATCAGTGTATTGTAAAATGGAATTATTGGAAAACTCAAGAACACCATCATGAGAGATGTCATCCTTGGGCGATACAAATAATTATTTTAAAATATTCTAAAAGCACCAGGAGTAAGGGTTGAAAATACATAGGTTTTAATTGCGTCAGGGTTAATAGTCGCTGGCCACAGTGCAACATTTTCGGTCGCTGTACATAATATTCACGATCGCCTCACATAATACAATCCGTCGAATTTTAAATAGTTAAGAACGACTTTTACTGCACATATTAAAACGGGATAAGTAACATTTTATGACTCTGGTATATCGATCCTAACGGTGGTCGCTTTCCCAACTTATCGTCATGCAGTAGCGTCTGGTTCTGAAATATTTCATAAATGTTTTACATGTCAGCTTTACATAAGCAGAGTGTGTTAATTGGTGCACAGCTGAGACTTGTGAGGAAACATTGTATCTCCAGTGATAAGTAACAGAAAATTTTGCTGTAGACTAGCCGTAGTCGTCAACAATCGCAGCCAAGAGCGTTATATTGTACATGTAAATGTATCTGGCCCAAGCTGCCTTCCCAGTTAACCTCAATCCTTAGTCAACAAGGGGACCGAGGATCTCATTGTATTTATTATTTGGATCCTCAGTAAAAACAAACTCCAGATACACTTTCGCACAATCTTCAAGCGATATGAATCCCTCTCCATTGCTGTCCATCAAGTAGAAAGCTCTGTTCGCCTCCTCAGCAGAAATGCGCATGCCCTTGTAAAAAGCTGCATGTTCTTCTTTGGATATAAGACCATTGCCATCCGTGTCTATTAAGTTGAAATTCGTGGCTAAGCGCGTTGGATACAAATCTCGCCGGAATGAGTCTTGGTTTACGATTGTGAATAAAATGTGCACATACTCCTCTTCTGCTACTTTGTCAGCTATGTCCTTGTCAAGATGATCCCAGGCATAAAGGAACTGCTTTACGACATCCTCACACTGATCACCTATTAAAGGAAAAAAGTAATATGATGCACTGTTTATATTTTAAAATATCACCTGGCCATACATGCAGTATTGTTTAAAGCATGGTTTCAATGTGACTCGCCCCCTTAAAAAGTTAACCTCGCCTGGTTAATGCATTTAAAGTTTATTCAATGTAATCTATGCATCTACCTGGGTACATGAAATTGACAATATTAGCGTCATTTGAATGCGTATGTATTAACCAATTATAACACGTATGCCTACTCCTAACTTATCAAAAACATTTACTTAACTACTACTACTCAATTGCAGATATACTGTAGTTGAATTTAAATTTATTATTTTCTACCATGTATTAGATGCTAAAATTTATCCCATACGATGCATTGTTCTGTTAACAAAGGGTGAAGTTAAATATTAGTCGATTAACAAACTGATCAAGTTACCATTTAGACCTAAGTACCCGGCAGCCCGTCTACCAGTGGTCTCATAGTCGTCTCTTGTCAGGTAGCCGTCACAATTGGCATCTAAACACTTAAAAATCGTGCGCATTTTCCGTTTCCAGTGTTTAGACCCAGTCACCAGCTGATAATCATCAGGCATCTGAAATATGCCCCTTTATTGATTCAAATCATTATATATATANACCCTTCTTTTGTCCAGTGTGTGTATTTATACCTATTTTATCAGTAAAATGTGGCATTGTACAAACGTTGTTTGCTTGTATCTCTAACTGCCCTGTCGCGCCTCTCTGGCTTCTCATTCATATTTAACAGTCAGTCGGGACTCGGGCAACCTGCGCAATCTTTCCCATATTAAACTTACTTCCACCCACTCCAATATAGTACAATTAGCAATGGCACAAACGGCGTGCATTAATCACACACACACACACACACACACACACACACGTATATGAATATATATAGGACCCTTTTTCGGAGAGACCTCTCTCTCCGTATGTTAAATGATACATGAATGCAGCCTGACTGCATGTAATGTTCGCTTGGTTGACGGTTAACTTTGTATTATCTAAAACACACACACACACACACACACACACACACACACACATATGACCTATAGTTTGATAAATAATTAATAAATGAAAAGGATGGTGATTATTGCCTGCACTGGCCCTGTGAATGATTTTCTAGTTCATTTACTACTTTAATAAACACAACACCATTACATCTTAAGCTTGAAATGTTCAGTCTTCAGGAATTAGCATTGCGTATGTTAAAAGATTACATTTTATTGCCACCGTTTCGAGTAAGAAATTCTGTTAAGATATTAGGAGGGTATTCTAAAGATTATGTTTTACAGGCAATTAGTAACTTGTATGACTGTTATCATGGACGTAGACTCTGAATGCTATATTATATTATATTATATTATATTATATTATATTATATTATATTATATTATATTATATTTCAACTGCTTTCATTTGTTTCATTTTTATCAGTGTATTGTAAAATGGAATTATTGGAAAACTCAAGAACACCATCATGAGAGATGTCATCCTTGGGCGATACAAATAATTATTTTAAAATATTCTAAAAGCACCAGGAGTAAGGGTTGCAAATACATAGGTTTTAATTGCGTCAGGGTTAATAGTCGCTGGCCACAGTGCAACATTTTCGGTCGCTGTACATAATATTCACGATCGCCTCACATAATACAATCCGTCGAATTTTAAATAGTTAAGAACGACTTTTACTGCACATATTAAAACGGGATAAGTAACATTTTATGACTCTGGTATATCGATCCTAACGGTGGTCGCTTTCCCAACTTATCGTCATGCAGCAGCGTCTGGTTCTGAAATATTTCATAAATGTTTTACATGACAGCATTACATAAACAGAGTGTGTTAATTGGTGCACAGCTGAGACTTGTGAGGAAACATGTATCTCCGGTGATAAGTAACAGAAACTTTTGCTGTAGACTAGCCGTAGTCGTCAACAATCGCAGCCAAGAGCGTTATATTGTACATGTAAATGTATCTGGCCCAAGCTGCTTTCCCAGTTAACCTCAATCCTTAGTCAACAAGGGGACCGAGGATCTCATTGTATTTATTATTTGGATCCTCAGTAAAAACAAACTCCAGATACACTTGCGCACAATCTTCAAGCGATATGAAGCCATCTCCATTGCTGTCCATCAAGTAGAAAGCTCTGTTCGCCTCCTCAGCAGAAATGCGCATGCCCTTGTAAAAAGCTGCATGTTCTTCTTTGGAGATAAGACCGTTGCCATCCGTGTCTACTAAGTTGAAATTCGTGGCTAAGCGCGTTGGATACAAATCTCGCCGGAATGAGTCTTGGTTTACGATTGTGAATAAAATGTGCACATACTCCTCTTCTGCTACTTTGTCAGCTATGTCCTTGTCAAGATGATCCCAGGCATAAAGGAACTGCTTTACGACATCCTCACACTGATCACCTATTAAAGGAAAAAAGTTATATGATGCACTGTTTATCTTTTAAAATATCACCTGGCCATACGTGCAGTATTGTTTAAAGCATGGTTTCAATGTGACTCGCCCCCTTAAAAAGTTAACCTCGCCTGGTTAATGCATTTAAAGTTTATTCATTGTAACCTATGCATCTACCTGGGTACATGAAATTGACAATATTAGCGTCATTTGAATGCGTATGTATTAACCAATTATAACACGTGTGCCTACTCCTAACTTATCAAAAACATTTACTTAACTACTACTACTCAATTGCAGATATACTGTAGTTGAATTTAAATTTATTATTTTCTACCATGTATTAGATGCTAAAATTTATCCCATACGATGCATTGTTCTGTTAACAAAGGGTGAAGTTAAATATTAGTCGATTAACAAACTGATCAAGTTACCATTTAGACCTAAGTACCCGGCAGCCCGTCTACCAGTGGTCTCATAGTCGTGTCTTGTCAGGTAGCCGTCACAATTGGCATCTAAACACTTAAAAACCGTGCGCATTTTCCGTTTCCAGTGTTTAGACCCAGTCACCAGCTGATAATCATCAGGGCCCAGTTTTATAAAGGACGTTTAACACTAACCAGTGGATAAGCCTAACCAGTGGATAAATTCCCCTAACACCCATTAACTAAAAGATGGTTAAAATGTGTTTTATATACAGTCTTCTGACGGAAAACAGCCAATTAGTTAACTGGCCAGTGTTTAACTGGATTAAATAATTATTTAAAGGTCAGTTTACTAACAGATTATTTAGGTCTGGTTAGAGTTAAACACTGGTTAGTGGTAAACGTCCTTTATAAAACTGGGCCCAGGCATCTGAAATATGCCCCTTTATTGATTCAAATCATTA